CTGAAACTGGTCAGTCTCTTATTGGCATATGTTCATACTGTGCGTATTGTCTTGATATAGCCTTAATTCACAAGCATTATAAGCAAATATGGATAGCGGCTAGCAGTGGAAACCAGTTTGATGCGCGTTTCGTCCTATTTGGGACTTGTCAGCTGGATGTACCTGCATCTCAGAGTTGATGTTCACTGTGAGACTCGAATCCAGTACGTTTCGCTTCAAACGCCATCGCTTTCAAACAAATAAATCAAACCATAATTTATCTGGAACAATGAAAATGATAAATTGGGGTGGTTATATCACTGAAGTCTGATTAGTTCATACTAATATTGATCATTTTACAGTGAATAATCAGTTATACAGTTCACCGATTAGATTATAGGAATTTTGATCAGAATGGGATTCGTAGAGATTGTAGTAATTTTAATAATTGAATTCATTCCAGATTTTCACTGGCAGTCTAGCTTACATCGACTCATGAATTCAACCATTAAAATGATTCTGACGATAAAAACGGTAAAGTATATGATTTCGAACGTGTCAATGATAAAAATATGAAAACTTTTAGATGTGTTAATAAGATTCGACCATAAAATAATGACGAACAATATGTCCACCGAGGTAATAAAGCTCTGATTATAACATTTGCAATGTAACAGCTAGACTGGCTTGATGTCATGGTGATTCAAATCTGCTAACAATCATTTTTCTCAAGGTTATAGAGCGCTATATGGCATAAAATCTAGATCTTCAGATATTGTGTTAGATCTCTCCAACCATCTAACAGGTTTATACAGTTTCTATTACTCTATTAGTCTACAAATAATCTAAATTTTAGCTTGACAGGCGAGTAAGTAATTTCACATTTATTAGGCCTAATGAACTTACAGTGTAAAATATAAATTGATCGATTTCGTTCTAATGTGACCTAGAAAAATTATTAATAGAAAATATGTTTATTCATGTTCAATTGATAACATTATTCAAGTTCCTATTAATAAAGTTCATTTTCTATACAATGTAAATACCATTACATGGAGCGTTGTTTAATTCAACTATATAAATCATTATATAATTGAGATCATTAGTCATTTGAAGCTAGACCACTATGGAAAACCTGCAAGCACTGGACGGCCATTTCGTCTCATTGTGGGACTCCTCGGCAGTGAGCATCCACGATTTCGTCCCGCAAGATTCGAACCTAGGACCTACCAGTCTCGCGCCAGAACACTAAACCGATATAAATCACTATTAATATTTTATCAAATAAATTTTTGGAAGCAACTATTAGTTGGAGCTTCTTTAGAAGACATTCTCAATAGACTGTTTTGTGATATTCCCCATCTTCAGGATTAACACAGATTTTCTATCCTATTCTAACTGAGATTAATACTATCAATCAATTAGTTAACTGACTGTATTACCACTATATACTTTTTTCTTAAGAGTTGAAGAAGAGAGCTTGTTAGTAATAGGTTAGGAAAATTCTAGAATACTTGAGTTTTGTTATTTATTGATCATCCTTAGTGATCTTATGGTATCTACTTGGTATTTTGTATCCAAGAAATGTTAGGAAACTTATAGTTCTGTTAGTCATATTTATTATATTAGAGATCATCATCGTGACATGATAGCTGTTGAACTGAACCTTTGTAATGCTGTTTCGCTAGCTGTTCAGTGTTTATTTAGCTTCAGTTTCATCTTGGCAACCACCATGTGGTGATCTGACGGCATGTCAGCTCCTCTCCTGGTTCTCAAGTCTTCCACTGAATTTTTTAGTGATACAAATACAATCGATATAGTTCTCTGTTGTATGAACCTGAGACTCATGTGGCTTTGTGTATGCGTTTGTGTGGGAATATTGTGCCGCCTATAACCAAGATGTTGAGAAATCTCCCATCAGGATGGTAAGATCCTTTCTTGGGCACTTTGCCATGATCGATTGCAGCTTCTCGTAAAACTGATCCGTACCGTTGTCGTTGCTAATATTGATGGTTGATTTCCTCATTGTTTGTTTTGAATGATGCTTTGATGATCTTGGACCCGTGAGATTCCCATCCTACAAGTGCATTTCGTGCACCTTTGAACAGCATCAGAGCAACTCCCTGAATGTGTGGAGCATTTTCCCCTTCGTGACCGGAGTACAACAGCATCTCTCAAGTATCTAGCCTTTGCTGTCCAGCTTGGGTCCAATGGGTTTCGTTGATTCCGAGAACCGCCAAGCTGTATATCCTCATTTCCACTACTGTTTGACTATTCCTCCCAGTCTCCCACATTGCCCGGACGTTCCTTTACCTATAAAAATTGTTGCACTGGTTGGTAGGAGGGGCATCGGCCTCGTGACTCCCTAAGAATTCCAGCTTTCATCCTGAGGTGTAAAAATTCTTCCTTCAACTCGGAGGGCAGAGTTTACATGGTTTAATTTTTTTAACCTGGTTGGCGTTTTTTAGCAACATTTTTATACAGGATTGAATTTCCGACCCCATGCCTAATCCTCCTCCTTTATCCGGGCTTGGGACAGGCAGTAGCCGTAGAAAAGCTACAGGAGTTAAAACCAATTGTTCAACCAACTGTAATTTGTCACTGTCACGTTTACAGAATAGTACTGATAATTCTAACGATGACTTGAATACTGTATACAATAGCCCTTCTTTTCTAGCTTCAGCTATCTAGAAAATAAATCTTGGTAAGTAAATTTATTCGAAGACTATAGTATAGATTTATATCCGATGTAGTTCAGTTAAATATGAATTTATTTCAATAATAATCAACTGAGCATTTATCACAAGTATAAAATAACATTGAACTAACTAAATAGAATCAAATGTCTTGAAATTCACCGAACAGAATCCTTTTCATAGTAATATATAAGTTCTAGAAATTGGTTTCTTTTTAAATACTGTATTTGGAAACATAAGATTTTTAACAGTTATACGATTCTATAAGTAGCACAAATACACTAGAGAATTAAAGTTAACAGGTCTTAAAGATATTTAGTTCCGTGATTGTTTCATAATTTCCAAAATATAAGGTAGTGATTGACATGAGTAACTAGAAGTACGCAGAAAGTGGTTGTAATAACTTCTATGACTAATTTAACATGTGATATAAATATGAGGTGACCATTAAGTTTCAGCGATTTGGATTATCAATAATGATCCTGCATAGTGTCAACTCCAGTAATTAACTTTTCAAACCATCTGTGTCTGTTCCGCCATATTGTAAAGTTAAAATATGGGTATAACACTGATAATATTGGAATCGGGTAATCTGGTGTAAAGATAGAACGAATCGCGTTAGCAACTATTATGAAATGTTGAGACAACGCCTATATAATTCGAGTTAACAAAATATAGACACTGCATAGCACTATAATCGTTGTCAAGATTAGAATTTATGATTTAAGTAATTATTTATCCACACCGAATCATCATGTAATTCCTTAGATTTCTTTTAATAACTGATTCGATTCCTTAAAGAATAGAGTGGTTTCATTTACACTAGACACTATCACGAAACACATAATTGGTGGGCAAGTCGTAGGATATAAATGAATACATTTATCACAAAAGAAAACTCGAATCTATTTTTCTGCATGAAGCATCTTCAATAGAACTAGAATTAATAGATTACAGCGACTACCAAAGGTTACTGTGTCTCAGTAGAGATTCACAAAAACTACCAAGCTGTGAGAGGCTAAAGGTTAATTTGCTGGTTAATGTTAGAAACCATTGAATATCAGACAAGTGATAAACAGATCGGGCGCTGGATGAGAGCTACCGAAGCTAAACATGCTAGGAAAAAGTTGCCCGGTGAATACTGATTTTCAACGGTTACAAGGTCAGTCCGTGATATAAAATGCAACAATCTTCAAAAAACCGCTAGTAAGAATTAGACCATTCAAAATAAAATATGTCTCGCCAAGTTATCTGCAAGGTGACCTTGTGTTCTTTTCGAGAAGCATACAACCGAGCGATTACATTGATCACACCCTCTTTTCATATCTTAGTTTTTTAAATATTGGGAAGGTATGCATCGCGGACTATATTGATGTGTACAAGTGAAAAGTCAAAACAGCATTCAAACTGAATAAGCTAAATATCTTAGGGAGCCAAAACTATAAAATTTTTATTTTTCAAATCAATTTGCAGCTAACGGTGGAAAGCAGGAGGAGCACTTAACTCATTAGAGACTCGTCAGATGCATATATTTACCCCCTTGTATTTACACGTACTCGAGTCCGGTTCCTAACGATCGTAAAGCTAATGTATCATCTATGAAGCTGATTATTTCAGATAACTACTAACCTGTTCTGAGGGGATGAAAATATTAGCGACAGTTTGCATTTTTGCTATTAATGCTTAGAAGTTTGTATAAAGTCTCTGATGCCATATACGTATCGTGAATGGATGCCTCGATTTTGTCTTTCAGTTACACGAATTTACTTTGTTTGAACGACTAATTTTAGAAAAGAGTAACGAGTGTTACTAAGTAAACTTGAAAAAGGAGAACAGAAAAAGTAGTAAAATAAGTTGTTCATATTTACAAAAGTTGTTGCTAAAAATGTAATTGGAATAGCAGTAGTGGTAATAAACACAAAAAACCTTGTCAGTTAAATATGGCTCGTATGTACATGCCAATTAAGTCAGTGAACAACACAGAGGAGAAAAGCCACAGAAAATTTTGAACAATATTACCAATCGGTTTAGTTATTATCATACTGTACAGTTTTAGTGGGTAAAAAGTGAGGAAGTAAAATAACACCAATATTCTTTTCATACAAATACGAGTAGTATAGATTGTTACTGGCTATATAAACATATATCCAGATTTTGAAGGACTTGACATAGTAGAGAAATAATCATACATCTTTAACATAGCAGTAGTTTTTACTAACAATAGTCTGAAATAGTCTAACAGTGAACAGAGAAAAAGACTTAACAGCTGTTACTAAGATAATTATTATGACTATGAGTATAGATATTATGAATTGCGAAAATTTTTCAACGACCCCAACGTTGTTTGACCATCCCAAAACGACATACAATTTGATGGAAGTCAGACAACCGAAGGCCTCGGACTGAAGGGCATTGTCTACCAATAAATTATCAACATATATAACAAAAAGAGAACACTCCAAAATTAGACCGACAAACTGGAGTTGAAATTTTATGCACATAAATAACAAAAAACTTAATTTTTCAACAAGTTCATTGTATCTAGACGACTTACCGATTAATAAAGTCATGAGAAGCTCTAATCCTCGCAGCTTCATTGTAAGTGAAATTAGAGCGAGTTTAAGAACGAGAGCAGATAGTAAAGCGAAATGATTATCAATGAATAAACGTGCTGAAAGGACGGGGACAATGTGTAAAACTACGTGACTGCTTTGAAGGAAGTTTTGTGGTTTTTGAAACGTTCTAAGGTATCAGTGTTTACAACAATACAACCAGTACCATACTTAGTTTGTCCAAAGCTCTTCAGCATCCTAAGAAACTCGCTGTCAACTCAAAACGCTGGTGTTCCTGACTATTCTTTTAGGGATTCAGTCTGTCATAGGCAACGTGGAGCAAAACACGAATGTTTGTTGCTAAATATCAGATTAGCACAGTAAAAAAAGCAGGAAGATAAGGAGCAGGGGAAATGCTACAATGATACCTATTGAATTTGAAAGCTATACATATAATGAAACAAAAAAATTTACATTACATGTGAAAATTATATTTGAAATTCAAATAATTCTGAGGTTTCGTCCCGACAAATTTGCTAGATGAGAAGTTGGAATTATTTGAATTTTAAATGCTGAAATTATCTCAAATATAATTTTCACATATAATAGCTTCTCTATACTCAGCACCCAATTTTCGACGAACTATTTGTTCTAATATTGACATATACACGTACAGAAACATTTACAGTTAGTTCATTTATATTTTTCGAACTATAATGCCTCACTCTTACGGTTCGATAGGTTTCTAATATTCCTAAATGTATTAAGCTCTTAGTGAGAACCACATCCCTATAGACTTGGCCAAGTGTTTATTATTTATTTATTTAAACACAAATATTGGTACAAGGAAGCACCAGATAAATATGCGCCTTACAAATCTCATTTGATTTGTGTGAGGGCTGTGATACTACCCAGGTGCTCAAACTGAAGCAGGTGGTTTTCTTAGGGAGCCACACCCGGAGCCTTTGAACTGAAGGTCTGGTCCATAAGGCAGTGGAGCATCGTGAGGAGATGCAGTCCCATGGTAGCCGGTGATCAATGATTGATTCGTACGCCATTTGTTCTTTCAGGATTGTTAGTGGGATATAGACTGGATTAAGCATGTTTTATGCATGATGGTGTGAGTAGGACTTCCCTGGCAGAGGCTATATATTCGCTGGCCACGTGAGAGTATTTCGAGATGGAGAGCGGACTCTCCCCACTCTCAGCCGTACCAGGGCATTTGGGGGCTCGGCCAAGTGTGAGGTCCTACACGTGCACTGCGATAATGAATGACAGGAAACCAACCATACATGTTAGTGAAGAAATAGGTGAAGGTCAAGTAGTTTCCTTCTTTAACCTGTACTGTTTAGCTGAAACGCACAAATACTAATTTAAAGCACTATCATGTAAAATCACAGACTATAGATGCTAGCTACTGCGATTTCGAGTATTAGATAGTCTGCCTTCCTCAATATCACAGAATAATGACACAACTAATTGAAACTCATTCCTAATTGTGGCTTAACTGTGCTTGATAATATACAGTGTAAGTATGAAGAGTGGTCAAATAGAACAAAAGATCTGAACTACTTTAGGCGAAGATTCATGACCTCTTAAAACTAGTTTACTGTATACTTAACGTCAATAAGTACGAAGTATGAAACTTAAGACCAGTAGTACATACATGAACTCTGAAAACCGACTTTGCCATGGCAAAAGACCAGAGAAACTTGAAGACAATCCGCAATGAATAGTGAGGTCAACGTCTGGAACTTTAGTTAATTCTAAAATTAAGGTTAGGAATCGAGTGAACAGACCAGTAATAGTTTGGTTGACCCTTTCATCCGTAAGAGTACTGGTAGATGTGCTTAAATAACGTGCAGACTGACATATCTGATCAAATCCGTCATCACAATTAAGATAGTTCACAGTGATTTTTGACAGTACTGTAGATGGATTAAAAACATCAATATGAAGTGATTACCACGACTCAGAGGACTGTATATGACAGAAGATTTAGTCTCGTTGTTCTTTTTTACAGAATAGTCTTTTTCCTTGATAAACTGTTCAACGCTATCTCTTAGATGTAAAATATTGCCTTCGAACATTAGTTTAGTATTTGAGTTTACCCTTCATATCGGACAGCGACAGGTACGAAACACCAATCGCTGAGCACCATATTACCAAATTCGCAATATCCTGTGCAGAGAATATTTCCTCAAAAATTACAAATGATATATGTTGTGGTATTTTCGGTAACTTTGTATGATTCTTTTCAAGATCAGACCAAGATGATTGAAAATAAGCACTCAGAGAAGACTTTAGTATAAGCAACTGGAGTATCTTAAGGACGAATATTTTTAGCTTATACACAAAAATAATAAATGTAAGTATCATGATTGCAGATGCTTCCAAACGTTACGCAACTGTTTGAAAATCCTCTTAATTATCAAGAGTCTATATCCAACATCCAATATCTTTGCTATGAGCCTTTTATATCCCATTGATTGTTTGGGATTTCTCCTCGTTGTTTCAGCACAGTTCCAGGTCTCTAGTGCTGCTACTCGACTGAACTAGTTTTAGTCACATTGATGGTTATTTGTGTGTATGTTAATTTTGTAATCTAGATGAGTGAGTTTGTCATAGGACAGTAGGGATTCTGAAAACAAATACCATCCATCGCAAGACAGAATGATGAGCAGTTGAAATGTGTAAAACGATGAAGAAGATATTCGAATACATGGGAGATAAAAGGAGACGATTATCTGAGGAATAGGTCAACCTTACCTAAGACTCTCACCTACACGATGTGATTAAGACCTTCTCAGTGAACAGTTTTAAAAGACGACTCGATAACCACGTAAATAAACATGCCTTTTAACTTGGATACCACACAACCACATAGCCTCTTGGAATAGACTATTTCTATTAGTTGACATCTTCACAACAAAGCTCGCACATCGTCGACGATTTCATCAATTATTGCTGATTGTAGAAAACCTTCAGCCACTTTATTGTTCCTCAACCCCTTCAATCTCCCTATTTATATCATCTTATCTTTTCTTTTTTAAAACCATCCATACAACAACCAACCATTCAACTGTCCTCTAACGTGAATGCTTATGGTTCTATTAACTTCACTGGACAAGTGTTAGTGACTATAGGAAGAGTATATCGTATCCCAAATTGTCTTGATGACGACTTTGTCTTAAGTCATATCTACCTTGGAGTTAGGCTGATTGCTATTTGATTGTCGGACATTTCAATGCGCCACAAATCAACAGGGTGTAGCTGTAAATAATTCCCCAAAATCAATAGTTCATTAAGTGTTCGACATTGGATGCTGACCACGTGTTTAAGTGGACTTGTTTAGCTGAAGGCTTTCGGTCATGCATCCGTACCAGATCACGTTTCGACTCGGCGTTGGATACAGCTCCTACGTTTCGTTAGCCAGCTCATAGAAAAGGTCCTCGATATATTGGTAACGAATCAAGTATATTTTTCCTGCCTCTTCTCGTCTGACTTCTGATTTCTATCTGACTGGGAACAATCGAATTTAGAAGGTGCTACTGGTATCTAGTTGTAAAACTAGAATATCCGCTGCATCATCATTGGTAAGACCGACGTGATCTGGTACACCAAGTCAATATACTGTGAGTCTGTTCCATTTTGGAATATTATTATTCATTGTTATTCTTTATTTGAATTTTATATATTGTGATATTCTGTTTTTTCGCAAATTTTTTTCTCGGATATATTTTAATGATACATTTTTCGTTATCTATATTACTATGACGGAACACTCTCCGAAGGTTCTTAAGTTTAAGTCTATTCCCCCTATTTCGATTCAGTTAACGCCATTTTGGCCCGACAATATCGAGTCCCGGTTCTGCTACACAGAAGCCGATTTTAGCATGCACGGAATCACGGACTCGCGCACACGTTTCCTCGCAGTAGTTAAGGCGTTACCGCGCGAGTTTAACAGGTACGTAACACCTAGTATGCTTACTAGTGATGTTCCCGAACCTTGCGAAACGTTTAAGCTATCGATTTTAAAACGAGGAGACCTAACTGATCGACAGCGGTTAGACCAACTCCTTAACAATATCGACTTGCAACATGGTTCTGCGACGGACATGTTGCTTAGAATGAGAGAAGTCATCGGCCAACGAACTTTCGATGATGGTCTATTTAGACAACTTTTCTTGTCTAAACTCCCTCAACAGGTGCAGGCAGTGCTTGTTTCATTTCAAAACAATGCCATAGATGAACTAGCTGCATCTGCCGATCGAATCTTGGAAATCACTAGATCTTCTAAGGCCGAGGTTTTTTCCGTCAAAGAAAAACCCCAATCGACCTCGACTGACATGGCCAAACTATGTCACACGCTTACACGATATCTTAGAGTTCGCAATGACCGTAGTCGGTCAAAAACCCCGCGTAGAAGCACCTCACGTAAGCCATCTGGCTCTCGACCAAGAGAGACAGACAATCCCGACTGGTGCTGGTATCATAACCAGTACGGTAAGTTTTCCAGAAATTGCAGGAAACCTTGCAATTATCCGACTTCAAAATCGACTGAAACGAATAAGATTTCGGGAAACTTCCCGGCCGGCACGCGTTAACGGCAACCGTAGCCGGCGAACACAGCCGTCTGTTATACGTCACGGATGTGACTACGAAAGTTCGCTACCTCGTCGACACTGGCTAAGAAGTTAGCGTTCTTCCAGCAAATCCCGACGACAGACTTCGCGAGTCTGTTTTAAGTTTACAGGCGGCAAACGGAAAGCCGATCGCTACTTACGGTAAAAGGTACGTCTACCTTAACGTGGGTTTACGCAAACCCATACACTGGATTTTCGTGGTTGCAGATGTCTCTACGCCAATCATTGGTATAGATCTGTTACAACACCACAATCTACTCATCGACACACGCTCACGAAAGTTAATAGACAGAAACACTAAGTTATCTGTTAGCGTAACTCCTTGTTCTGGTTGCAGGTTATCCCCAGTCACGATTAAGCACACCATAGACCCCTTGTACCAATCAGTACTCGACAAATACCCCGGGATATACCAATCGCAATCGAAATTGCCTTGTGTAACCAACAATGTTGCACATCACATCACGACTACAGGACCACCTGTATTTTCGAAAGCTCGAAGACTCGCTCCCGAGAAGCTTAGGTTAGCTAAGAACGAATTCGACCACATGATGGACCTAGGGATAATTCGATTGGCGGCCAACTGGTGATTATCGGCGTCTGAATGCTAAAAGCATTCCCGATCGTTACCCGCTGCCTCATATTCACGATTTGACAGCTACCTTGAAAGGTACAACTGTCTTTTGGAAAATCGACTTGGTTAAAGCTTATAACCAAATCCCGATGGCAACCTTCCAAAGGTTTATAGACGACGTCTTCCGAGGTCTCAACTTCGTACATGCGTATGTTGATGACTGTCTAATAGCAAGTCCGGACAGAGAATCGCATCTCAAGCATCTGGACATTGTTTTCGATCGACTCCAAAGGCATGGCATTACTGTCAACATTCAGAAACGCCAAATCGGAACAAACTCCTTAGACTTCCTAGGACACACCATTGATGCCCAAGGCATCCGACCCCTTAGGAACAAAGTGGCGGCCATTCTGGATTACCCAGAACCGACCACGATCAAGCACTTACGAACTTTCAACGGACTCGTAAGTTTCTATAGACGGTTCATACCTGAATGCGCATGCCTTATGAAACCGTTAACCGATCAGCTTCGTGGAAATGCGAAATCAATTAGTTTAGACGACATAGCCCGTAAAGCATTTTCCACAGTTAAGGAACACATCGCTAAAGCAACCTTGCTTGCTCATCAGGACAGTCAAGCGCCCATTAGTATCGCAGTAGACGCATCCGACTCAGCAATCGGGGCAGTCTTACAACAATGTGTTAACAACTCGTGGCAACCCTTAGGATTTTTCTCGAGACGGTTGCTAGACGCGGAATCTAGGTACAGCACGTTCGGTAGGGAACTCCTAGCTATGTATTGTGCTGTACGGCATTTTCAACATTCCATCGAAGGAAGAGAATTCACGCTTTTTACCGATCACAAACCTCTTACCTTCTCTTTAAATTCATCTTCAGACAAGTACTCACAGCGAGAGTCTCGACAACTCGACTACATTTCGCAGTTTACTTCAGACATACAACATATTTCTGGAGCAAACAATGTAGTCAGAGACGCCTTGTCTCGAATAAATTCCTTGAACAGTTTCCAAGGAATCGACCTTCTTAAACTCGCTCAGCTTCAAAAAGAAGACATTGATCTTCAGCATGAGTTATCATCGACAACTCTTAAACTAAGTATTAGGCAGATGGGAACAGGTAAGGAAACCTTACTCTGTGACACATCTACAGGTAGGGATCGTCCAATTGTTCCAAAACACTATCGTCACAACGTCTTCAATACGTTGCACAATCTTTCTCATCCAGGTGCTCGTGCAACAATCGAACTTATAGCCGAACGCTTTTGTTGGCCTGGCATGAATAAAGACGTGAGGGAGTGGGCACGCTCCTGTGTAAGCTGTCAGAAATCTAAGGTCATAAGACACAACAAATGTCCCTTAAGCTCTTTCAAAACCCCTGACGCTCGTTTCGACCACGTCCATCTAGATTTGGTAGGACCATTACCCGACTCCAATGGATACTCATATCTCCTAACATGCGTAGACCGTTTCACTCGATGGCCAGAAGCAGTACCGATTAAGGACATTACTACTGAAACCGTGGCCCGCGCTTTCGTCGAACGATGGGTAGCAAATTTCGGTTGCTCCTCAACCATCACTACAAACCGCGGACGCCAGTTCGAATCTGGACTTTTCCGTTGTCTCACCTCACTTTTAGGAATCACGCGCTTCCGAACGACCGCCTACCACCCACAAGCAAACGGGTTGGTAGAACGTTTTCATCGACAATTAAAAGCTTCATTATCAGCTTCAAACGTTTCACAGTGGACAGACACTCTTCCACTCGTCTTTCTAGGTATCCGCAATGCAGTGAAAGCTGACATTGGATACACTGCATCTCAACTCGTTTATGGAACGACACTTCGACTCCCAGGAGAATTCGTAGATCCTTCAGCTTCTTCATTGAACATGGATCTAAACTCTTACATCAGTAGGCTTACAAACGCTATGTGTTCAGTTAAACCTGCTCACACTCGACCTCAATCAACTGATGTTTTCGTTCAACCCGAATTACGACATAGTACACACGTCTTCGTTCGTCGAGACTCACATCGACGACCCCTCGAATCAGTATACGAAGGACCCTTCAAAGTTCTTCAACGCGAACCTAAGTACTATGTAGTCGATAAGAACGGTACGAAAGATAGCATCAGTATCGATCGACTCAAAGCTGCGTACCTAGAAGGAAACCCTAGCTACGTCGATTTTCCTTCGGTACAAGCAAACGACACAGCTACTACACTCGTAGTACCCTACACGACAACCGTCACAGAACTTGATACTTCGTCAACGTCGATAGAAAAACCTAAAACAACGCGTTCTGGAAGACGAGTCAGATTTCCAGAACATCTTAACGAATATTGCACGTAGGACATAAGCTTTATCTTGAATTACCCTTCTATAGTTCATTATAAAAAAAATTTTTAATATGATAATTTTTTATTTAGATAAAAAAACCAAAAAGAACAAAACATTTTTATGTTTTTTGAGCGTATATATATATACTTTTTATATATAAAAGAACCCAAAAACAAACCATTTTTTTTCCAATCGCTTTTACGCTGTTTGTAAGTGTATCAGTTTATTTTTTCCGCTCATCTTGTGTCCTTGCGCAAGTACGAGTGTATTTTCGACATGCACTCACACGTTTTATTTTTCCTCTTTTCCAGGACGGCTGGAAAAGAACGACGAAGTTTCGCAAGAAACCGAAATTTTCATTGTACTATATTTCTTTATTGCTATGTTGTACATTTTGGTCCCATAGTTAAAGGAAAGACGACCAGATGCTACTAAACGAAGCAAGCTATCAGAAAAGTGTTTACCAACGACAAACTCGTTGGGTTTAAACTTCTGGCTGGTCACGTCTTAGGGGCATCACTACCTCACTAGGGGGGGGGTGATCTGTGGCTGTAAATAATTCCCCAAAATCAATAGTTCATTAAGTGTTCGACATTGGATGCTGACCACGTGTTTAAGTGGACTTGTTTAGCTGAAGGCTTTCGGTCATGCATCCGTACCAGATCACGTTTCGACTCGGCGTTGGATACAGCTCCTACGTTTCATTAGCCAGCTCATAGAAAAGGTCCTCGATATATTGGTAACGAATCAAGTATATTTTTCCTGCCTCTTCTCGTCTGACTGGGAACAATCGAATTTAGAAGGTGCTACTGGTATCTAGTTGTAAAACTAGAATATCCGTTGCATCATCAAGGGGCTCACAGCTTCAGGTAGATGTGAACTTGGTTTAGACCCCTATTCGGAGTATACTTCTACTAAGTATCGCAAAACTGACGAATATCGACATGGAACTCGTGTTTACACACCATTGTAACGATGTCACTGAAAGTTAGTATCTGTTTCCACTAGCAACCAGTGATAACTTTGTACTGTGCTTTAGGTTTGGGACACATAAAATACAGTATGATTTCCCTCACCTCGTCTGAATATCTGACGGGCTAACATACTGGTAATTAGACACTGTTCTATCTCAGGAAACTGATCAGTCATTGCATATTTATTGATTGAAGACGAATAAAACATATATATAGTCCCATTCCAGTCCGTAACATTACCGTTTCTCCCATGGTGAGCATTGCTCTCCATGGATCAATAAAAAAACCGAAGGCTATTGAGAAGTGGGAAGCGTTTATTAGACTTGTTCTTCTTAAAAAGCCATCAGTAATTTAGATTTGTTGGGAATCCGAGATAATCGATTATCGAAATTTTTGATACACAACCAGAATCGGAATTGGTCAAAGCTGAGACTTATTCAAACCATTTCATTGACAACCACCCTGTGGTAATCCTTAACAGCGATTCCCATAACCACCTATAGAGCCTGTACATATGACTAAAGGAGCTTTTATTCGACTGCTATTTAGCCTCAGACCTTACAAATTACCGGGTCTTGTTAGGTTACATTAACAATTCCTTCTATCCATCGCAAACAATACTTCAGAAATACGTAATGTTGCTCAACATATGCCTTTCGAGAACTCAGCTTCCTAGGGATTCGAAAGGTGCTTTAGTTAAGCCTATATTAAATATGGAAAGAGATAGATGGTGTCTAACTACTGACATATCAGTCTATCAAGCATAGTGGTTCGGTTGTTTGGAAAAAAAATTAGGGCTAATTTACTAAAAAAAATAGAAACATACATTGTGTTAAAACCTGAGCAACACTGGTTCCATAATAAGCATTCATGACTAGCAAATTTACTGATAGAGGGGACTGAACGGTTGTTAATTCTAATACTAACGAATGTATTCTAGATAATACAGAGTCTACATCCAATACGCTGTCCAACAGATGTAAGACAAACTTCAAAAGAAGACGTACAATAGATCACAGACACTGAAGCTCCAATTTCAGCAGTCGCGGATGTATTGTTTATATGAACCAATAACTCCTTTATATTGATGACTGTCTTAATTTTGAATTCGAAATACAATACATTCGTTCATGGTCATCTAATGGTTCTCGATTAAATTGCGTTATCGCTGGGATTACCAGTTCATATCATAATTCAAATACTTCAAATCATTACAGTTTCTTAATTCGGGCTTATTCAGAAGTTCTAGACTTTCGGAATAACAGTTGGTGTATAAGGGTGGACAAGAAAGTTTATTTGTAGCTGAAGACAGTGGAGGAGAGCAAATCGTACACCATCTAAGTGAAAGCCGGTCAGGAATAGCGTACTTTAGGACACAATCTTAGGTCCTCTGCTCTTTCTCTTCCATATAAATATACTACCGAGATTGCTGAATTCGTCGACACTTGGTAGAAAATTATATCAAAATCTTGGGAAGAGTAAATATTGAGGCTGATCATTTTGGTTTCCAAACTGACCTCAACGGATTGGTTAGACGTTCTTAAGGTTAAAACTTAGGAATTAATTCTGAAAAGAATGTGCTAATACACATCAAGCATACCACTTTTTACCAGTATACTATCAACGGTACATCGCTTCCATGTGTTCAGAAACAAAATGACTGAAAAAGAACAGTAGCTCATCACATAAAAACAATTGCGAATCGCGATGCAGCTTCCCCCAAAGGTTTTCAAGTATAATGAACATTTTGCGTACCACTCAAATGTTTTTTCGAGGAGATATTCCGTATTTTATGTCCCATATGTGTGCAACCACGATTAAAGTACTGAATCCAAGAAAAACGCCCGAAACTTTTCCTATGATTGTATCGTACAAGGCGAGTTGACTTTATATTGACATCCTGTATCTTTAATAACGAATCGGGTAATAATGTCCTTTTTTCACTCCCTACAGAACTATTCACCTCCTAGACTATAGCAAGAAGGTTCGAAAGCCGCAATTGTATAAAGTCGGATTGAGGCTGTGTTTTTGTCATTAGGTGGTCAACAACAAGATCTACTTACCCGAATAAATAGTATTAGCCGAATCAGTGAACATTTTAAAAGAGAAACTACACCTTAACTGGAAAAAATGTACAATGATTACACAGATCCATTGACCAATGACCTATGGGATTCAAGACAAACATTCACCAAGTTAGATACTACCATGTTCACTACAGCAAACACAACCTTAGTGAGAACTGAGCTTGAGAGCTGCGTTCAGGCTGCAAGCTCCTGTTTGGAAGGTTACTCGGACATCCTGGAAAAAGTGAAGAGGGCGGCTACCTGTGCAATTCCAGGATTCTGGGGCTTACCATATAAAGAGTGGTTTGAAAAGCTAGACCTATTTACTCTGTCCTATCTCAGGAGATAATCTCATTTTGATGTATAGAATAAAAATAAATGATTATGAACCTAACATATCCCCTATTTTTCTTCCCACTTGAGTGGGACATATCAGAGAACATATCAGGCGAGTAGAAAAGGGAAGGACGAACGAAATGCCAGTGACATACTGGTTTCACACCGAGTCATCAATTCTTGGAACCTACTCACTTTCAATTGACCCATTCAAGAGAGGACCGTACACTCATATAAGCATACTTGTAAATTAATATCATAGGCTATGGCCCTTCTGTCCTTACTATACAAATCTGGAGCTGAATTCTGCTGACTGATATTGGGCATTGGACGTTGTCTACAGTTTCGACATATACGGTACAATTAGTTGACTCAAGATGAATGAATTCTAAATACTAGTTGCCGTATAACGCAACCCTCGTGATTATAGAGCACAACATATGAGTCAAAACTCTTCGGAATCTTCGTTATTACAAAGTGCAGATCGAAAACTCACCATCGGTATGCATTTTCCTTTTCCTTTACGTTTTCATTCGAATTGTCTCGTTTCTAATATTACGAGGGAATGTTTTCTTCTCCAAGAAGTCTTTGTTCAACAAACATGGTTTCTCATGAAAATTCGAAATTCGAAAGTGTCTCTTCTTACTAGAACTTATATCTACTTCATTTAAATGTACTGGATAGTAGTATAATTATTTTCAGTTAGTCGTTGCGTCGTTACCTAGATTTTCATATTGTGTCGATGTCTCTGTCATTTTGGTCTGGTTAATGTGTCCTTTACCTTTTATTGCATATTCCTATAGCTTATATAGCATTTGACCGTATACCGAAGGACCGCAGACATTGTACTTTATCATATTTGATCTGGAGTGTAAAATACTGACCAAGTGTTTACAGTGGCTTATAAATTGGAATGATGAATCATTGCAGTTGGAGAAGTCGAAAAAATACACGAACATTCAAATTCGTAGAATAGGTGATAAAAACGTTTAACATTTTATGCAGTCTTATTTTGCCAAAGTGAATTCTCCTGATATTTCTTTTAACTCATTTTGGAGGTGGTAGATAATCTACCTGTATTCACTCAACAGTTACAGATGTACTGAACTTTGTTCTACACATTTCTTGTGAGAACTAGTGATCCTATCCTGTTGCTTCATCCAAACGAAATACCTAGTCCGAAAATTCTCAATATCGTGTCGAAACTCCTGTTCTATAGTTGTCATTGTTGATTCATCCTTAATTATGTTAATAGTTCACGCTTCTAAATCAAAAACCCTTTCACATAGTTGATATAATATTAAGATCCATTTTTCAATATATGGATATATGAGTTTGTTTTCCTTTTAAAATATGAACCTAGACATTATATTTTACCGATTTCATCATTGACTCATGTATTTTAGGCTATCCTTAATGTTAGTAAATGGTTGTGAACTAATAGGAAACATTGAATTTTTCATACTTTTCTTGCGTTTTGTTTATCCAGAGTAACGTTGTGATTTTATTGCATCAACGGAATTAAGCTCTCTTAATTTTAAGATTCCTTTGCTATTTAGAACCTTACACAAATGAAGCTAATGTGTTAAAGTTTCCTATCGCTATATCTAAGACTTCCTTTCATCGTAGTAGCTTATCTCACTTTTTCGTTCTTGTGATATTAAAACACCTCTTGAGCCCAGAAAATATCATGGATCTATCATCCTCCAGGTTTCTTTCTCTGAAGTGGGGTTGAATAAAGTAGAGCCTTTTAATATACAACCTCTTTGCTGTACAATTAACCGAATCTTTGCTTCTTGACAATTTATTCTTGGCTATAACTCATTATAAACGCACGCCAAACCCTTAGTTTTAGCAAAATCTATGGTTTTAGCCTCGTGATCATTTAATAATTATTATTATTTGATAACTTAATATTGGTACAAAGGGGCACCAGATATATATGCGCCACTAACAAAATTTTCATTTCATTTAATTGTGTGGGGGGCTATGACACTGCTCGGGTGCCCAGACCGAAGCGGGTGGTTTTCTTAGGGGGCCACACCGAGCCTTTGACCTATAGATCTAGTCCACAAGGCAGTGGAACATCGTGAGAAGATGCAGTCCCATGGTAGCCGGTGACCAATAATTGGTTCATATGCCCTTTATTCCGTCAGGATACTGCAGCTCATATGCACCACTGGTTTAGGATCAGGATTTTCCAACTCCTAGATGAACCTTCAGTTTCCACCAACCCGGTTAAAGCGCCGGACATTCGCTTTCGTCCTCTCAATTTCGTAAACAACAGTAATGCCACGAGAAGGCAGTGAGTAGAGAAGGCCTACGAAAGCGAATGTTCGGCGCTTCAACCGGGTTGGTGAACAAGGAAAATCCATGTAGAGGAGTTGGAAACCCCCAATCCCAAACCAATAGTGCACATAGGCTCCAGTATTCTGAGGGAACAGATGGCGTATGAACCAATCGATGGTCACCGGCTACCATAGGACTGTCTCGTGATCAGAAAAGGCTTTTGCATATAGTTCCTACCGGTCACTAATTAAACACGTAGTTAATGAAATCCAGTACACGAGTCGCAAGCTTTTGTTAATTCGTATGACGTTGTGCTTAAAATGTTCTGTCGTGAAACGCATCGTCTGAACTTGCTTGTATTCTTTAATTCCTTGACCCACTGCTTGACATACGAACTTGGATTTTAGCCTTCATGTCAATAGAAAAAATCTATTAACATTCAAGCAATAAGTTATTTAGTTTTGTGAGGATGAGGTAGTAGCATACTCAATGTTCTAAAAAGTCCGATTTAGGTTTTAGAATTAAAATTTGTAAATCGCTTCCATTCATATTAGTAGATTTAATGTTAAGTAGTATGTTTTTGTACTACATTCTGGGAATACACTCATATATAAGTAAACAGTTTAGTTTCGAAGCCTAGTTGAATGGCCATCAAAATCGTTTAAGTTTCAACTCATGTCTTCGATGAATATCTGATAAGATCCGTTCAGCGTTTTATTTTCGTTTCTTCACATCAATCTAAAACACTTATTTTGATTGAAACATTATTTTATGTTTTCATATTTGGTTACTTTTTCAACTTTTACATTTAGACAATCAAGCTTCAGACCATGGCAACATGAGCTCGATTCCTTCAGTTTATAGAAAGGGTCTCTCAGTTTCCTCTTATCCACAAGAAACATTGAACAAAGAAACCGTCCACATCAATTTAGATCCTAATACAGCGCCCGCTCGATACCGTGGCATTCGTGATTTAGATTTAAATTCGTGGGATGACGAAGCGGCGGGGAAATTACGTGTATCATTTCGTCCTTCTGGAGATTTATACGACTTTTTATCTCCATGTAGACGTTCTTTTGGTCTTCGTGCTGTAACTCGCTCTGTAAATTCGCGGCCTCTAAGACGAACATTCGGTGTTATCTGGTTTGTTAACGACTGTTGTGGGGTTGCTTGTATTTTTATCACCTGGCTCCTTATTCTGTATGCAGAGTTTGTTATAGACTTCATAATACTAAATCATTCTCCATCACATACCTTCTACTGGATAAGTGGAATAATTTACCATTTGTTTGCTATCCTAGCAGTAGTTTCTCATTTCAAAGCATTCAGCACTGACCCAGTAAGTTGTTAACCACTATTTTATTGTCTACAACGTATTGTAATCGTTTTTTGTTGCGCACTACTAATGAGCTGGTTGTTACATAATCGGGGACTATAATTTTCTTTAAGATTGTCATTATTAAGCTATTGGTTGCTATAGTCTCGAGTTTTTCCGGTATGAATGCATGCTGGTTCACTTGGGGCTCAATAGTAGATATTTAAATGATCAAACTTATCTACTGCTTTTATTTTTGTAGGGATTAATTCTCGTACTGGTGTTCTAACCCCTAAGTGTTTGGTTAAGATATCCATTTGAGCTTCAACATTTGTGTTTAACATACTAATATTCTCTCCTAAAATGTATTTCTACAAAAAAAATCAGCGTTGTAGATCTGTAACATGAATGAATCCTGTAATGTCCTGAAATGATTAAATAAAACGTTTGGTTGAGAGTTTTACAATAAGTAAGAGAAAATTCATCTGGTGACATTTTGGCGTTTGTCAAAATGAAAAGCTAGGGTAAGAAAGCGTCAGTATAACCACCTGATTTTATAATGTTAGTGCGCGACGTCATTGTCTCGTAACCCAAATTAAGTTATTGTTAATTTACTGATTGCTATTTAAGAGATGTACAAAGACTGATTGAATATGCTTATTAACATGCTCCGAAGTTGATATCTGTTGTTTTGTTGGATCCGACTCCCAATTTACTAAAGCTGGTGGTCATTCTGTTAATTTCTTTCCTTGCTTTATTCGTGTGGGGTGTATTAACTTGAAACGATATCCATTCCTGTCACCTCGTGCGTTGACTATGACCAACCGGTGATCATTTCCCGATCTCATGTTTGCTGATTTCATCTTACTTTTGATAAATTAAATTAACGCAATATTTTGATTCATTTTAATATCTAAAAGAGAAACATTCTTACACAAATATCATTTATATTCCTGACAAGATGATAAAGTAAATAAAAGCTTAGTAGAACACTTAGTTGCAAATAATATTTTTACTACTTATATAGCAGTTATTTAAAAGACTGAAATCAGCTGCATATCAAACGATACATAAATGGGTGGTCGAAAGATACAACATCAAACTGTTTTGTGAAACGGTAAACGGACTACATAGCACTTCAGTACTACTAAAAAGTACAATCTATATAGAATCCTAACCGAATTATGTTTGTGACGTGTCAAAGTTTGTTTGTGGAAATTTAAGTTTTCAACTAACTGAACACCTATTCTATAAAAAGTGTGACAATTTTTCCTGTCTTTTGTTAACTTGTAGCTATAACCGTTATACACTGAAGAAGTAAAAACCTTAACAATAGTTGTTCTCCCCTTCATATAATCTACGAAGTTAGCTTAAATCTGGCTTCGTGGTCCAGCTGGATGTTTAACATATGCTTGTCAGTAGTGAACTTGATCTTTAAGACATTGCAAATCAGTTGAAGTGCCTTCAAACTTTGATTTTTTTCCAACTACGTAAAGTAATGTAATGAAATGATTCACTTTCAAAATATATATAAGCCTATACGATATATAATTATTAACTGGCTGGTGTCCAATATAGTAAACTGTTTTCAGTGACCATATATTTCATGTTTTAGTGACAATAAGCGTTGTCTTTGTTATTTACCGAACAAAGAAAATAAATTCACTTCACCGCTATCAGATGTGTAGTCTTTTGTACCAAGCCATTTAAACAGTGATTTTGTGCACAGCGTAATGAAGAATCAGTTGTAGGTCAACTCAACCATGACTAATGTTGCCATATTTTATTGTAATGGGTATAACTACCTTCTGCTTATTATGATATATATATATATATATATATATATATATATATATATGTCCCTTTTAGATTTGCTATTAGTATTAATAATCCTATTCTCTGGAAACCCTTCACAACAGTAAACACCACCAATTACTTGGGTTGCTTAATGATAAAATACGCTATTATCTGAAGATGGTGAATATCATTTAAAGCATTTATAAACCTTTCACTGTATACAGCTACACGTGATTCAACGCAGATCGTGACCACTTATCTGTGATCATACTGGTTGGATTCCAATGTCATGTTTTTCGAATCCTTAGTGGTAATTGAATTCTATAGATTAGGTTGCTATGTGACCACTATTCCAAGTCACTCAACATCGTATGCAGTACGATTTAATGTTTATTGATTGAAGGTACTCGGTAGGATTATATGGGTCTGATTTCCATTTGTCGGCAAAGTGCTCTCGGAGTTATGAGGAAACTGCTCCTCTCTGTGGGATCTGAACCCGCGTCACTTGGCTCTACTCTGAGATATTACTATCAGAAATACTTTTAGTCATTTAGTTAATATTTTTCTCCTTTCCATCTTAAATTTTTTATAAGGGTAGCATTCCAATCGGTGCAGCAAATCAAGCATTTGCAAAATGTTTACAACAGTATTCTTCTTATTTATCTGCTCCTCCTATACGTTGCACAAAGTGCCTTACTATTAAACCTATTCGTGCCCATCATTGTCGGTAAGTATACGCTATCTGTAATATTTTAATTGATTGGAACATTCTGACTGCATTTGTTATTTTTTACGGCTACAATAAGTTATATTTTAAAGATGCACTGTCAACTGGTTCACAAATGGCTGATAGTTTAGCAAAGAATAAGATGGGGATTTATGTCATTTAAGCTGTACGTGGTTTATTTTACATAAAAACTTATTTTTACTTTCCAACTGACCTGTTCGAGATTGAAAATTCATAGTGTCGTGTAAAACATTGAGTCTATTTTATCTGACTAATATTGTGGATCATGATTTAATAAAGAGATGTACAATTCAATAACTGTTAAGATGAACAAATATATTACTGGCAGTCGAATCCATGACCCGTGTTTCGTCCTATGTACGATACACCAGCTGGACGTGCCTGCATCCCAGAGTTGATGTTCATTCAGGGACCCGCACACGATGTTTATATTATCAGCTAAAACTGATCAAATTTCAGTCCAAGATATCAACAACGAAATCATCTAAATTACTTCAAATTGAATGAAATCTCTTCTTTTGATCATTGTAACAATTTTAAGTATCAAACGTTCGACTCATTGAACCATGAGATCGCGTCAAATATTAACAACAATGTCAGATATGACTCAGTGTTGATACAAAAAAGAATTGGATAGTTATCATCTAGAGGAGTAAACACTTCACTGCACCTCAACATGTATACAATAAGGCGGGATATTTTGAAATTCCACTAAATTTTATCACTACATAAAATATTAAATTCACCTTTTTTGTTATAGATATTGTATTTTAGTAGCCTCACCTACTCTCTTTTTAGAAATAATAGTTAATAATACTGTCCGTCATCTTACTCCTTGAAAAGTATGTTTTAGACTTTTAAACCAGCTAATCTACTGTGAGTAAACTCAATAATTTACTGATGTTATCATCTGTTTAAGCTTTAAAAACCAAGTATTATTGTTGAAAAAATTTTAACACCTAGTCCCTATTACAATAACCCATATTTTGCTGATGAGTCACATTTATTTTCTGGATCGAAATGTACCGTAAACAAATTTAGATCAGTTTTATTTTACAAGTATTCCTTAATGGTTTTTAGTTGTATTGAACAATGGCAAATATCGAGTTTCTCATTCTTTAATAATATTGTTCCTTGTATTAATGTCATTTAGTTATACATTGACAATTAAACGGATCCAACACACTAACCAAGTCTAGGTTTATTTACTCGACTTTGAGATTCAATTTTTCAATATTGTATTATTACTCGGTTGCCCAAACTTAAACTCATGAGGTAAGATTCGATCTGACAAACTAGTAGTTGAAAAAAAGAAGCCTTCATAATCAAATAACTATAATTCTACCGAATTTACAGTTCGTGTATCTGTTGTATCATGTGATTCACCGTATCAATATTGTTATGTAATTTGTAGTCTTAAAAGCTGACATTTGAAATGTCAGACATAATATATGAAAATAGATAAATATAATGTAGTGTACTTTTGATCTTAATGGCACATATTTCAATAATATCCATTAAATTGACTTTATTGTCTTTAATATTATTGTAGTACTTGTTTCCCAAATGGTTGATCCCTTTATACGCCAATTGAATGTTGGTTGATTTTATCTTGAAATTTTTATTTTCCTCATCATTTTATGTTCAAGTGGATATTTTAAGTCACCTTATGTTGTTACAAAAGACTATGAACGGTATTATCTGTGTTAGTGTAATTCAAGCTATCCTTTTTTGCCAGACTAAATCTGGTTTATGTATTTTAACCTTTTATTTCAATAGTTCATGTCTACATAAATAATAATGAAAATCATATTTAATGATTCATTTCTGAAATATAAATCATTTTATTAAGATCACAAACCAATAAAAAAATTTAGACAGCTTATTGAAAGCATAGAAGCGCTGGACAACCGTTTTATCTTAGTATGGGAGTCTTAAACAGCGTCCGTCCATGACCCCACTTTAGGGGATTAGATCTAAGACCTTCGGTTTCTTGTGTGAACGCTTAATCTCTAGAGCACTGATTCTGTGTCCATTGGTGCACATGACTAACTTAGATCAATTCATGAAATTATTTTAATACGGTTTATACTTTGAGCATATTATTATATTTATATATTTTTATAAACATTCAAAACACTATTCCTGTGTGCCTATTTTCGAATTTTCTTGTTGTTGCGACTCAGTGGAAAATGAAACTTTGAACCGATAAATGACAATCTTGCAGTTCTGTATTATTTAATTGTTTATTAGTGGGGTTGGCTCAGTGATTACTTCTCAGATTCAAACTCTCTTTCAAGTACTTTAGTCTGAGCGGTTGTGTAGCACCACTTGCTCTTACATTTAAAGTCTGCTTGAAATCAAATACATGAATTTGTACCTGGTAAATGAGCTGTTTTTCTTGTTCATTAATCTCTATATTACATAGTATACCAGAGTAAATAATAAATTGTCATCATAATAAGAGTATTCAAGTTACGCTATGTCAGTCTACTAGTTGTATTCTTTTCAATCATAACTTAATTGATTTCAGTCTTTCACTAATAATTGTTGTCTTTAAGCTAGGCAAAGTGTAAGTCTTAGTTTTCGGTCGTGTGTGTGTTTGTATTCACGTCTAAATGTTAGATACAACTGGTGTATTTGTATATTGAATTTGGTAAACAAATTACAAAATACATTTTGTAACTACCTTTTAATCAGTGTTTTCGTGAACGATATGAAAAATAGTCTTAAATAGTTCATAAAAAACTGGTCAGAACCACGCCTATATATATAAGCGCTGACGATTTTGTCCAAACTGACGATAAAAGCTCATAAAACGCGACACCATCAAAATCATCCACCTGAGCTGAAAATCCTTTTTATCATTTTAAGTATATTTATGTGTGTATATGTTTTGTCTCGTTTACTCAACTTTCATGTTACCTGTGATTTTAAAATACGATATAACAGCTTAATATTAAACTAATTAATCGACAATATTCATTCTAAAGGGCACCGATTAATGAACGTGAGCATTGAAGTTAAAAATACAGTTTTTAATGTTTTCTGTCTGTTTGCCTGTACAATCAATCGAAAACGTTGTTTTCTAAACGTCTAATGCGAAGTCCACGTTCGAGTTTTATAACGATTTGTTATTCTTATTACTTCAGTCATGCCATATCATACGTTTATTTCAAATAGCTATGCGATAAAGTACTTGGAGGAATTTTCAAAAACCCGTTTGAGAAATGTTTGTAGAATGTTACATTGAATAAGTTTTAAATGTTAAAAACACATCTTTTTTTAAATCAGAGGGGGTTTTGTGGAGAATTTAGTATTTTCACAGTTGAAATCATGAGTCAATTGAAGCTAGACCACCATCGAAAACCTGGAAGCATTGGACGGCCGTTTCGTCTTACTATGGGACTCCTCAGCAGTGCGCATCCACGATCCCGCACTCGCGAAATTTGAACCCAGGACCTACCATTCTTGAGCCGGAGCCCTTAACCGATAGACCACTGAGCCGTCATCCAACGGTGTTAATGTCTAACTTCAACCAATCCACGATTTTGAGCGACCGTTCACCGGTTGTCTTCAGTGAGCTGATATCTCTACAACAGACTTGGTAGAACTCCACTGGCCACTGCCTCCCACTAGAACTCAAGGAAATATCAGCTCACTGAAGACAATTGGTGAACGGTCGCTCAAAATCGTGGATTGGTTGAAGTTAGACATTAACACCGTTGGATGCCGGCCGGCTCAGTGGTCTGTCGGTTAAAGACTCCGGCTCGAGACTGGTAGGTCCTGGGTTCGAATCTCGCGAGTGCGGGATCGTGGATGCGCACTGCTGAGGAGTCCCATAGTAAGACGAAACGGCCGTCCAGTGCTTCCAGGTTTTCGATGGTGGTCTAGCTTCAATTGCCACCTTTTTTAAGTTAGAAATTCGTACTCAGTATTCTTTATTATATGTATTCCCAAAAACATTGTGCTTTTTGCTATCCAGAAAATCTTAATGAACCTTGGTTCTGTTATTATTATTATTATTATTATTATTATTATTATTGTTATTATTTAAACATAAATATTGATACAAAGGGGCACCAGATACATTTGCGTCGCACAAATCTCATTTGATTTGTGTGAGGGCTGTGATACTGACCAGGTGCCCAAACTGAAGCAGGTGGTTTTTTTAGGGAGCCACACACGGACCTAAAGGTCTAATCCACAAGGCAGTGGAGCATCGTGAGGAGATGCAGTCCCATGGTAGCCGATGACCAACGATTGATTCATTCGCCATTTGTTCACTCAGGATAATGAAGCCCATATGCACCATTAGTTTGGAATCAGGGTTTTCCAATTCCCCTAAGCGAACTCTCCGTGTCCACCAACCCGGTTAGAGCGCCGGACATTCGCTTTTCGTCCTCTCAATTTCGTAAACAACATCCCCGCCACTAGAAGGCAGTGAGTAGTACTTCCTTGACAGAGGCTATATACGTGTGGCCATTTGAGAGCATTTGGAGAGAGAGCGTACTCTCCCCACTCTCGGCCGTACCAGGGCATTTTGGGGCACCTTGGTTCTGTAGATTGTTGACATCCGTGATAATCAGTCAAATGACCAAATTTTATTTAATATTAATTAGATGAACAGAATAAACTTATTAGTTATATCTAATGCGATTATTATTATCATTACTAATTAACAGATGATTATGAAGTACATCTATAAATCAGATTATCAATTATTTTAGTCAAAACAATACTCAGATTTACGTTTGACAAGTAGAAACGTTTAAAGTTTCTCAAACTAGTTATATTAAGTAATAAATTCAATCACATTACAATAATATCTGGGAAAAATGATTTTACTTCAGAGGCGTTAGTAATTCAATAGTTCATACATGAGCTATTCATACAAAAGCATCAAGTGTCAAGTTGTCACTATATCATGCCTCTAACACCTAATATTTCATACACAGTAAATTGATTATTGATACTTC